TGGGCGACGCCGATTACTTACCACTATTCTATTCTATTCACAATAAGTACAGCATCAAATATATTTTCTATTTTACATTCCTAATCTCGCTTTTGTCACCGCATGTACAACTATACAAAGCCCCCAATTGTTTAATTTAATTTGTCCAGTGTGCAGTGCCTACTGCGTCAGTCTGACATATGTTTGAATGTATGTCTGTCTGTATACATATTTGTATGTAATCGTAATGCTGTGTAGTTCTCTGCATGATTGCAGTCCTTTCATACGTTACATTTCATTTATATAGGCATATTAATTAGCTTATTGTATGCATTTATAATACAGATTATAGTGATAAAATACATGTGATACGATAATGACTGAAAAATACTGAAAGATTAGTTGATTTTAACGTGTGATCTATTCAATTCTTGTATGTGTAGAGCTCGTTTGTTCAGGGCTGGGTGACTTAATTTGTAAATAAAAGACCTATTTAAAAAAGTTGCAGATTATCCGCAATTATTTATAAATGAAAACATCCATACCTTTTTTCTTTTTTCCTAATAAATCTAATTTAGTTTAACTCGTCGAGTACCGGTTTTATAGACACAATTAAAGAACAATAGGTCGCGGTCACCGGTGACCGCTTGGTGTTTGACAGTTTAATAATCTTTTTTTTAATAGACGTTGCCTCGCACTAGGATTTTCTTTTGTATAGTGGGTGCGTTTATAAACATATAATACACATGGCTGTCAGACCCGAAACAACTAGACAGAAATGAGACACTACAGCTAGAACTAATAATTAATTTCAATAATGAAAATCTCAGACTGTGGTCTGGGACTTTCATTCTACCAATAAACCAGTCAAATCCAATAAACCAGTAAAATAATCAGTCTACCAATAAACTTTTCATCCGCGGAACCAAAAAAAAACAACCAAAAAAAAACAACAACCTATAAATTAATAAAAAAGTAATAAAATATTAATTTCACTAATTGCAAACTGTTAAGTAAATAATAAATGAGTGGTTATCAATGAGCGGTTAATTTATTACAACATGTCCATTTTGTCCATGATAGTCCATTTTGTCCATTAAAATGAAGAATTACATAATTGTAACATCCCTTACACTAATTGGTACTCTGAACATTCCGAACCACGATATCGTACATTCATTCATTATTTTATTCAATTTGTTACATGACATTGTTTGTTAATTATCAGAGACATGTTTCTCGATAATTTTTACTATACTTTTATACAAGGTGAATTTATTATGAACGTTTTTTTTTCGGTTCACATTGACACCTGAAACACCAGAGGCGTTACAAGTGCGTTACCGGCCTTTTGGGGATTGGGAATTTGAGGAATGTGGGGGATTCAGGGATTTGTGAGTCTGGGAAAGTCTCTGACAAGTCTAAGTCTGGTAATTGGGCCTCCGGTAACCTCACTCGCACGACGAAACACCACGGGAGCGTTGTTTCACGTTAGTTTTCTCTGAGGCCGTGGTATTGGTCCAGTCGAGTCGGTTCATTCGTATCGCAGCGTGGCTCGCCCACGCTTCCTGTACATAAGTTTAATGCTTTGAGATGAATTAGCGTTCTTAATTAAAACTATTTAGTATTTTTTAACTTTCATTCAACGTTTTTCCACATGCTTTAGTGTTTTTTTTGGGACAACCTCCCAAAACCGCTGCAACTCCTGTAAGCCAGGATCACTGAAGTCCGGCGCATCCCAGGGACATGAGAAACTGTCTTGGTTTCCGCAACGAAGTGAATCCGAAGATCCGATAAGAGGAGAAGAAGAAAAAACAATAGTTTCCACTTCCCTCGGTGACTTACTGCAGGAAACAGAATGAATTAAGCCTAAAGGCACAAAGAAGAGACTGTACAACTGGGTGAAGCCTTTATTGTGCTGAATGCGATGCTTTGGTGTGGCAAAAAATACCTAACTAACAATTTAAGAAAAGGAAGTACAGTAAGATTTATCCAGTTCCATGGCTCCAACCATCAGATCCAGCCCCGGAACAACAATTTGTACACCACATAAAGAATTCTTCCTTGTGAAAATAAAACCAGCGATACGTTGATACTAGATTTATTCACATTCTAGTTTTCTATCTCTAAAAAGAATCCGAAATGTGTCCAATAACACAATTTGGTGACCCAATACAAAGTTTCCTGCATAGTGGAAAAAATCTTTCGCATTTTTGCAAAAAATCTCTTTTTTGAATTCACGAATGTATTCGGTGACTTGCAAAAAAAAGGTATCAATCTGTATGATATTCATAGCCTGGCAATAGCCGCGAGTGTGGCCTTTTTTGTCAATATTTTCGCCCACAGTGAATCCATTTTTAAAGCAATCTTTCCGACATTTTGTATTTTTTTAATATTGAGAAGAATTTTGCGTTTAGGTAAATTAAATAGTTACCTTGCATAATGTCCAATAAAATAAATTGATAAGTCAGAATATTGCAATTAACGGAATGTATTACATTCAGATTTAAATAACAAAAATTGATAAAATAAATTTTATTTTAAACTTTTCGTTAAATCGACGTCATTGGAGGTATTTGATTCTATTTTTACTGTGTGAATTTCATATAATCCTTCGCTATCGCTAAATAAATAAGTGATATGGTAGAACGTTATGTGAGGACATACATAGTAAACACAATTAACATAATCACATAGTCAAACACAATGCCACAACCCCTACTTTTTACCAAATATGCTAAGAGTCTCATACTTATAATCAATCATGAATATACCGAACATTCCAGACTCTGTTTCTTATTTGAAACTCCAAAAAGCTTTGATGATACCTACTTTACCTTTAATAATTCAATAGGAATCCTATACTTTGCCCGACCTAGACCTTTAAGAATCCTACACTCATTTCAATTTCGACATTCAAATATAATACCAATCAAATTCACAACACAATATAAATTAAAATAAATATTCAAAGAATGAATGCTGAATGCGATGCTTTATACTACCGGGCAGGGGTCTTGGGTTCGATTCCCGGGTCGGGCAAAGAAATACTGGGTTTTAAAAAATTCACAATAGTAGCAAAGAGTCTGGAATTGTGCCCAGTATATGGCAATAGGCTCACCCCCTATTACATGGGACTCATAACATAACTAGTGAAAAGTGGGTGTTACATTGTACAGTGGCATAATGTGCACCTCTGCCTACCCCTTCAGGGATAAAAGGCGTAATGTTATATATGTAAATAAATACAATAAATTCTACATTAAAATAATTGCCAAACAGAACACAAGACATGTACAAACTTGTACAAATAATGAAAAATATAAACGTTATGCGTGTTTCAATTATTTGGGCCATGTCGAATCGGATTTATATTTTAAAATATCGCCTGTTTTTGCTGGCGACCCGAAACTGTCCAGTTCGGATTAAAATCATGTCGATGATTAAGTTTCGTTACGCATATAGGTATTTATTTATACTGTTATTTGATTAATTGCGAAAATTGGTATGATGTGTACCTATGTTTGCAATTTTATTTTTGTCTAGTAACGTTTTACAATGCACCACAGTGTTTCTGGATTATAAGCTTCTTCTATATAAGACTCTTTACCATATTCTCCTCGTTTGGCAGATTGATTCAAGATCTCAGTTTAAAAGGAGGTAAACGAGCAGACAGATCACCTGAGTAAGTGATCAGCGCCGCCCATAGACAGCCGCAACTCCAGAAAAGAAGGTTTATCAGAGTGATGCTGCCAGGAGAAGGCTGGGTTACGATTGCAGCTTAAATGGCTGTCCAATCACCATCAGAAATGCGTAACTGGAAACTTAATAATACTTTTCTTCACCCAAAAATCGAAGACATAACATAACATCACGCCTTTTATCCCCGAAGAGGCAGAGGTGCATACAGAAGTAACACCCACTTTTCACTATTTATGTTATGAGTCCCATGTAATGGCTGGTGAGCCTATTTCCATATACCGGAGACATTTATAGACTCCGTGCTACTACTGAGATTTTTTTTAATACCCAGTAACACTTTGCCTGACCCGGGAATCGAACCCGAGACCCCTTGTCGAAGGCATCGAAGACATAACTCCTTGTTTTTTAAGAACTACCGTGACACATACTAAATTAACTATAAATTAGGTGTAACTCATTTATATATACTGATAAAAGTTCTACTAGTAGGTATATAGTAGTATATTTACGTGAGTGACTATAATTTTTTGTTGACAAAACTCCATATTTGCGACCACTCGACCTATAAGGCAGTTGAGTTTTAAAAAATCAACATTAAAATTATTTCTATTGAATCCTTTTTTGCGCATAAAGTTGAAGGCAGACATAAGCATGTTAATTATGATCAACTAATTAACTCTCTCATTGCAGTAAATAAAATATGAACTGATTTCCGACATGAAATAAAAAGCAAACCTTCGATTTGAAAAGATATTCGCTTTTACGAATAATATATTTATTTTAATAGCTTAACGAGTCATATTTATTTTTCATTAATATCAAACTTAATTCAAGTCATAAGATTGGCTTAACTATACGAGTGTAAAATATGGAATCTTTATTTATTTTCAAAACTAATGACCCGCCCTAGCGTCTCACGGGGGCAATATGTATGTATGGTTTATATGTATGTATGTTTCTTAAGAATCACTCTATCTATTAAAAAAAACTGCATCAAAATCCGTTGCGTAGTTTTAAAGATCTAAGCATACATAGGGACAGACAGACGGCGGATAGCGACTTTGTTTTATACTATGTAGTGATACCCCATTCATTGAAATTATGTTCCTGATATAATACCTACTAGTAAAAATCTAAAACTCTACTGTAAAGGAATCTATGACATAACTAGTAATAAATAGATTACAATTTAACACTTCAAGGAATACTTTTTACTGTTTCCTTTTCATTATGATGTTTTACTTGAACACCTATAATAGATTAGACTACTATTTGGATGAAATGAAACAGCATTTATAACGAATCTAAACATAATTTTATTACCAATGTACAGGTTTCTTATCACAACCAACTAAACTATATACAAGCTTAATAATATTCTTTTCATCTGAGTAAATAAAATTATTATCTTTATCGAACGCTAGACCGTATATATTTTTCATATCCAAAATCTTTTTGAGACCATCATATTTACCATCAGCGAATATACCAAAGTTACTCACGATATACGTATCTCCTTCATTATCTTCAACTATTTGTCGAACAGTTATTAATTCATTAACAACTTGAGCTTCCATTTTCTCGTTATCATACTTATATAAACCAGTTTTGTTAGCAAAATATATAACATTAACACTGCTCACGTGGAAATAATCAATTTCAAAATTCTCAAATTCCTTTACTGTAGCAAACTTTCCGTCGTATTCTATATGGAGTTTCTGATCTGGATAGCTGATGTAGAAAAGATTCTTCTTGTAGAATAAAGACCAGATGTTCTTGCCTTTTTCTTTGTAGAAATCTGCTAGTTTGGTGAGCATGTTGTATTTGTAGATGCCATCGCTTCCTCCGAGGTATATCTCGTCGTTCATCTGGTCGATGGCGACGGAGCAGCCGCCTCTGATGCCTGCGATGGTTTGGTACTCTCTGGTGTCGATGTTAAAGTATGCGAGTTGGAAGTCGACATCTGCGTAGGTTTCTGGGAGAGAGTAGCTGAAGAATAAAGAGTTGGAGCCTCTGTGGACGTTGAGGTTGTATGGTCGTCCAATATTGGCCCATAGAGTGTCCCTGTCGTACCAATTGTCTCCTATTTTGAGTCTGTTGCATGCGATCTCTGGTAACGATCTTGTTCGAGCTGCTACTGTAACTATTATGTATAGGCTGAAGAGCATGGAGCTGTACCTGTAATTACATAATTTGGAAAACTGTTAATGCCAATTTCAAAAACTAATACATATTACAAAATCAATTTCTATTGACTTACAAGTTAATCTTAGGTTCATATACTACTATTCATAGACTAAATTCAATACCTGAAGATTTCCTACAAAAGTTTGTAAAAGCTAGATGTTATATACCTGTATTTCAATTTCAAAATCCCCCTAATACTCGCCTTATAGAATACCATCTTTGCCTTATAAAATAAAAATAACAGAAGCATAAAAACTATGTCTGGATCACTTCAACTGACTCTTTGAAAAATAGAAATAAAAATTTGGTCCATTACAAAATCACCACTCTTACACACTTCATCTAATTTTAGTTCAAAGACAAAATAAGATTACATAATATTACAGTAGCAAACTTGTCCAAGTCTGTCAACTGGCGGACACAGGAGTGAATTATTAAGTAGATTATCAAATTTCACGGAAACACCAGCTTGCTTAGACCCTCGGAGTTACACAATCACATTAGAAGATTGCGTTTAATAATGCACCATATTTAAAAGTAGAGTGAGTTTAAATTATAAAAGAGTCCCTGAAGGGAGCAGGGGTCTGTTTAAAGTAGTGGCTCATTGTAATCCAGGACGAGATTATCAAAACAAACTAAGCACATATCTAAATTATTTAATTGCTCTATTTAAATTAATGTTTAAAATAATACTATTGAGAAGAATTTTTAAATAAAACAAGTGAAACCCAAAACGAATTAAATTGAATATATGAAAAGGTAAAAAAAATAATGAGAATATGTCTGTACAAACCCAAATATGAAATGTTAATTTAAATAAAAATTAACATGCTGTTATAAAACTACTATATTTAGAAAATACCACACAAATCAGACACAGAAACTTCAATCGGAGAGACACAACACAATTTCAAATAATAATTACCTAACTCTAAAACCACAAACAAATAAAACCAAAAGCAAATCAAAATCAAACAAAAAACACTAAAATCATAGAAAAAAATGCAACTCACACGATCTTAGAAACTGTTTTATCCATAATGATTGCAAATGAAATTAATTGTAGAACTAATGCTAATCAACCACATGTTTCTCTGCCGAATACATCCGAACAATGAGGATCATGCTGTTATTAATTAATTGTTACGAAACATCACTTGTTTTGTATCTACAACCATTGTTTGCATCAATACTAAACAATCAATGAATACGATTACAAATACAATCCCCGTGTGAATGAAAATTTTTATTTTGTCTTAGAGTTGTTTGAAAACTTTCGCCGTCTAGAGTGATCTGTCCTTTATTGTTCACATTATATTCATCTACAATTATTACAGGATGCTAACTCATGTTTATAAATACTATTTTCTCAATAGAATCTTTCCTTGCAATAACATTAGCTATCTTCCTTTATCCTTTATATATGAATTTCCCTTTCATGGAAATCAAAAAGAAAAATATCTCATCTTTTTTTCATTCAACAGTAAAAATACTTTACAATAACATTCGCATCGTGTATTAACAGTATTGAGTGTGAAAATGTCATAACAGGATTATTTACATTATCTACATTTGGAAATGTCCATCCGTAAATTGTTTACCTTTTAACCATAGCAAAACAGCAACACATACCACTACACATAATTGCATCATAGTAAGTAACAATACCTTCGTTTGGTCAACAAAAATCTTATTCCATTCGAATTTCATTTTCGCATTTGTTGCCTAACCTTAATCATTGAACAAGTTATATTTATCTTGTCGAAGCCTTCCTTAATGCTCCATCGCCTCTGTCTTCAGGATTAATTATAGCATTCAAACAGAGTCCACTGTATTTACTAGGATTAAGTCTGTATATTGAATCCTTGTCAGAATATATTAAACGGTCCTTATCGTCAAAAGTCATGCCGAAAGCCTGATCGATCTCAGCGATCTTCTTAAGTTTATGATACGGTTTATCTTCAAGATATATTCCGTCACCTGCACAGAAATATACGTCTCCATAACTATCCTCCACTATCTGACGGATAACGATCTCATCGTTTAAAACTACCGCTTCGTTGTTCGGCCTATCGACTTTATACAACGCTGTTTTGTTTGAGAAGTAAACATCGATATGCTTGGACACGAAGAAATGGTCAACCTCTATATTGATAGCTTCGGCCACTTGAACGAAACTGTCGTCCTGGTAGACGAAAAGTTTTTGTGTAGGGTACTCTATATAGTAAAAGTTTCGTCGGACAAACAATCCCCAGATAGACTTTCCCTCTTCGGCGAAAAATTCCGCTGCTTTTGTGAGGAAATTGTATTTGTATATGCCGTCATGACCGCCGAAGTAGATATCGTCATTGCCGCCGTCGTAAGCCACGGCGTATCCCCCGGGGACGCCTTTGATTTCTCTGCACGTTTTCTTCTCAAGATGGCAGGACCTGATGCCGAAGTCTACTTGAGTACCATTTTGGATGGTGTGACTGAAGAAGAGAGTGCCTGAAAACCTGAAATTAAAGCATTTATAGGTTGATTCTATATCTAATTGTTACGTAGGGAAAGTCAAATAAACCTAAATTGCTTGGTTGACCTTGAACTGTATCCAAGTAGACATTGACCTTAATAGATTAACAAATAGACTAATGGTTGTCAACTTTTGCTTTTGTTCAATTCCCTCTAATTACTATTGCGCAATGTTGCCTGTAAGGGGTATATTTAGATTTATTTTTATGAAGTACCAAGAAACAAAATGTTAATGTAACAATAAATGACACAAACTACACAATAAAGTAAAATTACTTTTAAGTTTAGCCTTGGTATCAAAAAAGTGGTTAGCAGAATAATCATTCTACTAATATTATACATGGGAAAGATTGTATAGTTCTTCCTTTGTTACTGGGATTTAAGATATCAGGATGAAATTTGGAACAGTACAAAACAGTTCTACTAATGGTAAACATAAATACATTATTTCCATATAATTTAACAACAGGATCCTAAAGGACCACCTTTAATCACCCCGAAGGACCACTTATAAACCCTTAATGAAATCACTTACTTGTGCATCACCAAGTTGTATGGCCTTCCAAGTTCAGTGAACAGGAGTTCCTTGTCATAGTACACGTTATGGAAAATGACTCCATCACACATGACCACCTGGTCGGTCTGGTTTTCCACCGGTGCTGCAGTCAAGAATGGAGCACCAGCTAGTAGGACGAACAGCTCCAGAAATCCCATGATTTCTGACTGGAACAAGAGGTTTTATTTTAATTAGAGTGTAAAAATTTTAAAAGTAGTTTAATTATACAAGGACTGCCTCGTTGGCCGAGCGGCCAGAGAGTCCTGGGTCGGGCAAAGTATTACTGGGTTTTTCAAAAAAAATCTCAGTAGTAGCACGGAGTCTAGAATTGTGCCGGGTATATGGCAATAGGCTCACCCCCTGTTACATGGGAGTCATAACATAAATAGTGAAAAGTGGGTGTAACATTGTACAGTGGCATTAAGTGCCGTAATGTGCACCTCCATCTACCCCTTCGGGGACAAAAGGCGATATGTTATATTATGTTTAGTTACAGATATTTTTATAGGAAGTTTGTATGATATATATATTAAACTGTCAAACACCAAGCGGTCACCGGTGACCGCAACCTATTGTTCTTTAATTGTGTCTATAAATACGGTGCTCGACGAGTTAAAACTTAATAACGTCACCGAGTTTTTGCACATTTATTTCTAGAATATATTGAGAAAACAAATTAACCACTTGAATGCACCGATATGAGACAATAGAAAATATATTGTATCTCGCCTTTTTTTTTGTTGAGGGGGAAAAATAATCCAATGACTGGTGGAGTGAGAGAAAGTGTGAGACTCTTACTGTCTAAAAACCACCACGTTCCTACTCCTGTACTTCGAGCCGAAGACCCGGTAACCCGTTATGCCCTCCGAGACATACAAAAGTTTAATGAAAAAGTAACTATTTTTGGACAATTTTGTGACCTATTGAACTATATTATTCATCATTACAATTGGAATGATGACAGGGTATGAAAATTAAAAATGTAATTAGTCCGTAAGTTAGGTAATTTAAAAATATTAGATACGCTTTTTTATTTTGTCGTATAATTAAACAATACTTAGATAAAACGAATCAAAGTTTAGGAGTGGGGGCTAAAACGGCATTTCTACATATAAAATGTACATGTGACGTCACGAGACATTTCAAATCAATATACCGTCGAAAGTATTCGTTTCTGTAAGAAAATAAAAAATACGTGTCTAATGATTTAAAATAATCAACCAGGCGGACATTAAAATAAAAATTAGGCATCTACCCTACTATATAGAATTTCAGTGAAGTCGTTACAAAACAAAAAAAAATTGTACGATGTTAGTAAATAACAAAGGCCTAAGAATTTGTTGATGTTATACCAATTAAATTAAATGGCGATTCTATAAAAATTAGACTTATTGATATCAATGCATAATGACTATTCAAGGACTAATTGTTTGAGAATATCAAACCATCAATGTATTGTATACATACGTGTATCAAGAAGTATAAACAAACAAATAAGTCCGGTCAATTCTTAAATTACATGTCATTGTTATAGACAAACAAATTTTCCGACCATACGTAACATATATACATATTGTATAACATCACGCCTTTTATCCCCGAAGGAGTAGGCAGAGGTACACATTACGGCACTTAAACTTAATGCCACTGTACAATGTAGCACCCACTTTTCACTATTTATGTTATGAGTCCCATGTAATAGGGAGTGAGTCTATTGCCATATGCCGGGTACATTATCAGACTCCAAGCTACTACTGAGGTTTCTTTAAAAACCCAGTAATATTTGCTCGACCCGGGGATCGAACCCGAGACCCCTTGTCCAGCAGTCGCATTTGCGACCACTCAGCCAACTAGGCAGGCAAATTTTCCGACCTATACTTAAATTATAATTGTTTAGTAATATTTGATAGTGTTTAGGAATACCTAGAATAATTTATATTGTTATTACCTATGATTATGCGAGTTGACGTCGACATAACAATTAATGTATTCCTTTTAGTGTTTATATTTAGGTCAGTTAATATTTTAAACTAACTAAAATATTTGTTGTATATATATTTCTGAATAGAACATTTGTTTATGTGATTCGCTAGCAATTGTTTATTGGTTTAAGTAGTATGCCTTTGTGTACACACACAGACACAGGAAAAAATCTTAGAAAGGGTTTTTTAAAGTGTAGTATCACAATTGACCTTGACGTTAACTAGGATAGTGCTAACAAAAGATTAGATATAGATTAAAAGTGACACAATTTTCTAAATGACGAAAACCACGGTTATCAAATCACATACAGAAGAGTATAAACGGTACGCTCCCAAAAAACGCCGACAGTTTGTAGTAAAAAACAAGATGTATTTTCATGAAAGTGAGGAATTAAATGGTTATTTTATGTAATAACAGTTATAATCAACTGCTCAAGGTTGATATTGCATGAAGAACACGAAAACAAAACGAAAAAAAATTGAATGACAATTTCTTTTTGTCAGCGTCTCGGGAGCGTTCCATTTAAACCTTGAACAGGTCAATAATCCACACACTACTTACAAGATACATCAACAATATCATTCACTACCACAAAACCAAAACAAAACAAAATAACCCCCAACTTAAACACACAAACTCCCACAGCGACAACAGAAACACATATTTCAAAACACAAAACTATCAATAATTCATTACCTACGAAATAAAACTCACTGATACACGAAAACCACACGAAAACTGTTTAAAACATCACATCTATATATAAAATATATTCACACGTCTGTATTGCAGCAAACTGTACCAATACAGCCAAGAAAGTAAACAATTAAATAAATAGTACGAGTCACAATCTGTTTTGTAAACAAAATATTATTGTTTTATCTGTTGACATACTTTTGAAGTGATTAATTTGTCTTTTTATCTACAGTTTTATTGCACTGAAACGTATGATAGGTGAACTATTAATGAATAGATTGATTACATTGTCTCTAGGATTGTCTAGTGCTCGCCTAACTAATGTCGCAAGCGCAAATGTGCGAGACTTTTTTTTAAGGGGGAAAATCATCAATTGACTGCTCCCGCCTGGGTGAGGCGGGAGCGAGTGTCAGACTCTTACTGACTAAAAACCACCCCGTTCATTCTCCTGCACGTCGAGGCGGAGCCCCGGTAACCCGTTAGGTTCTCCGCGACAAATATGCGAGTTTAGGAGTTTTTTTTTTTAATTTGCGAGTCTAGGAGTTTTTTCCGAAGGACAGACAGTAATCGAATGACTGTCCAAAGTAAGTCAAGAGAGAGAATGTATCTTGCTGACTGAAAACCACCCCGGTCTTACTCCTAGCCTGTGCCGAGTTCGCAGTATATGATTTTATGATTTTAGAAATATTAGGATGTCTGAGATTTTTACCCTACTAAAACCCCGCTGTGGTGACCCTCAGCACCTATAAGGGGCACCGGGTCTTCTAATAGAGCAGATAATAGTTTTAGATTTTTAATATGTATGTACTTAGATTTTTTATTTTATGTACCTATTAATTTTAAGTATTTCTTAGTTCTTAGTTTATTTTTCAAATGTCACAAATAGTGATAAAAGTGTCATCGTTAGGCTACTGTGCGTGTTGTGACACCTTAAAATGTTGTGCATTTAAAATTTATTACTATGGAAGTACTTAGATATAAGACGTAATGTAGCAACTACTGGTGTTTTTATTTTTTTATTGATTAACACGGTAGACACCAATTACATTAATCAAAAAACGGTTGTCGAAATTATAAATAAATAAACCTGTTTCATGGTGCATCGTCTGTTACAGCACATCCCTATGTGCAGTATATGCCTAGCCTCGCCCGCAACCCCAGAATCTAGAGTTTTAGAATAGAAAACCGAGTGTCAAGCAAAAGTATTATTTTGTTTTCGAAATTATCTTTCATAGCACGGAGAGCACAGAGTTTAGAATTGTGATCAGTGTATGACAACTATTACAATGGGATTTATGATAATGTTTGGTTAAAATTTATATACAAACACCCAGTTCTTATCTATAGAAATTAAGATAACCCGATCTTTAGATACATGTGCAATATATTTTTATTATGTACTTAGACGGATAAGTTCGTAGCGGAATGCCCTGCGTGGGCTGAGCACCGCCGTGCCCTCAGGGAAGTGATCGGCGATGGCGACCTCTCGCGTCCGGGCCTAGTGCAGGCCATGATGCGGAGCGAGGGGGACTGGGATGCCGTCTCCTCCTTTTGCGAAGCAGTCATGCTAGCTAAGGAGGAGGCGGGACGCGTGAGGCAGCGAAGCGCTGCCTCCTCGCAACCCAGCCATCGCGAAGGACACACCGGGCGTCGGGGATCGCGGGACGATCTCCGCCCACCGTAGCGCGGGCCTGCGGACGGCGAGCATGGGTGGCTCCCCGTCCGACCAGAAACAGACCCGAGCGTACGGCGCGTCGTGTTCCGCGCGCGCCTCAAAGAGCCATCAGACCACCACAGATGGGGCTCAATAGGGCCGATGCCGATTCGGAGTCGCGGAGAACCTAACGGGTAACCGGGGCTCCGGCTCGACGTGCAGGAGAAGGAACGGGGTGGTTTTTAGTCAGTAAGAGTCTGACACTCTCTTCCGCCTCACCCAGGCGGGAGCAGCATTCGATGATTTTCCCCCCTTAAAAAAAAAAAAGACGGATAAGTTATCAACTACACCCCTAGTTGATATATAGGACGAGAGATAGTATCTGTGCCCGTTGCTTTAAATGGTTTGTGTTCCATTTTGTGATATGCGTTCTATTATGGTCCTTGGGTACATATGAAGATGAAGATAGAATTTGTTGAAGGTTTCTTTAAATTTTTTTCTACTACATTTAGCAATAGAGTTGGCTGCCTAGTTGGCGTGGTTGCAAGGGTGGTTGCCGGGCAAGGGATCTGGGGTTCGATTCCCGGGTCGGGCAAAGTATTACTGGTTTTTTTAACAAATTATCAGTAGTAACATGGAGTCTGGAAATGTGCCCCGTATATGGCAATAGGCTCACCCACTATTACATGAGACTCGTAACATAAATAGTGAAAAGTGGGTGTTATATTGTACAGTGGCATTCACATAGCTTACGGTCCGCCTGATGGCAAACGGACACCGTTGGCCTAAATACACTTGTATGTCCTGAGGAGTCACAAAATTGTTGACAACGCA